GAGTCACACTCGATCTTGTTCTTTCCACTCTTCACCCGTTCTTATCTGGGGCTGTGATGGTTAACAGAGGCTTGCTCGCTAGCTTTCGAACAGAATATTTTTCTTGAATGGCTTTCTTCTGCTTTTCCAGCCACCTGTCGATGTAGTTCTGGTCTGTTCCCTCGGATGGGATGGCTTGGAAATCGGTCCTAATTTCTGGTATAACCGCGTAGAAGCCTCGGCAAAGAGTCTTCATATCGTTGCTTGTGCCTTCATAACTTTGTAGTACATATTCTTGCCGTCGTCTATGCTTTTCTCAGCTTTTCCTTCAAACTTCTTTAACTCCTGTTCCATTACGGAGAAGAGACCTGCTGATCTGGAGATACCACTTATAAAGCCCTTCAAGGCAGGGATCAGGGTGTTGCTGACTGCGGCTGCAACTTCTTGAATTTGTTCTTCGCAGCCTTTAGCAACTGATTCAGCCAAATCTTCTTCAGCAGCAGCCAACGACAGAGGGCTTACGATCATGTTTACAATCGGTACAAAGGCAAGTCCAACCGCCCAGGAGCGTTCTGAACCTGCCTTTTCTTCTAACTCTTTCCTCTTCCTTTCAAACTCCCTTTGTAGGTGTTTCAATTCTTTTTATAATTGAGCGGGCTTGGTCTTCTCTCTTTTTGAGTGGTACCAAGATGTCTTCGTGCATCTGCAGTAGCGCTTGGCACAACTCCCTGTAGCCAATGGTCTCTTCAAGGATGTCAGAAAGCATGTAAAGCCATTCTTCGTACTCCAGGGCTTTATAACACTCAAAGTACTCGTTGATAGATGAAACCAGTTTGGTCGAAAGCGGCAGGACACCTCTTAGCTACACCATTGCGTCGTTTCTGGTTTTGTCTCGGAGTTCCCTAAACTTCTAGCGCCTTCGGTACTGGTGCCACAGCCTGAGTTGAATAAGGGGCTCTCATGCAAAGAGAAAAAATTCGCATGTCGACTGGCATGCTCTGTAATTGTTCTCGAAGGTCTTGAACGGACTTCTTTGATTGCTTTTCGATGTCACTCATCCTTCTGCTGAAACGAAGCAATGAATAATCAAAAGGTTTCCTTTTTAATTACCCATGGTTTAAGTGTGTACTCACGTTACGTGGGTCGTTAAGTATTCATATATTTATGCCATTGTTTAGTTCTCGTCGGATTTCACTCGGAAATGTAAGACCGCTATAGAAATCGGACCGCCCTTTTATGACATGTGACAATTTTCTTCTGTTTGTCGTCCAAAAAGGAACGAAGTTTGGAGTTCATTGACAAAAACGGCTCGCGAGCGCACCCGTCCCACAAATACTTTCTCCAGCAATTTCTTTCAAAGACTTCTGATGAATTTCAGATTCGTAAAAATGTGTTAAGAGCTCTCAGATTTGAAGCTACATATTTTCTTAGATCGGACTTTTGCACATTTTGATTGTGATCTGGCACACACTTATCGGAATGACTTGCAAACACGCTTCATACGCTTCATAAACTTGAATTCATAAAATGTTTGCAGTTATTCTCTGTAATTTATGTTTCTCACGCGCCGATAAAAGATGGCTGTGCATAAATTACAACGCCAATAACAAGAAGTAAATTACGAACTTTGGCCTAAAATCATCAAATGTGCTCGTTATAAGTCTCTTTAAAAAGCTCTGAAAATGCTCTAGTTTAGTAAATATAAATGAAACTTGAAAACATTGAGCGAAAAAACTTGAAGGCATAAATGTTTCCAATCATTCTTTGGAGTGCACTGACACGTCATAACAAAAAGGGTACACTTGCAGACGCTGTCGCTCGAGGTCGCTTAATTGTGCTATCGTTTCATTCCTTTGAGCCTTCCTCCAAAAGATCTCACCTTTTCCAGAACGAATGAATCCGAACTAAGTTATTACGCTTGAAGGCCATTTACTAGACGTTAAGCAACTCTTATAGATATATTTGGAGTACATGCCACCGAGTAAGACAAAAATCAACAACCCATAGTGAGTCTTTCTTCGCGTGACCAATGAGGTCCTTTTTTTTAAGGCTGGTTTTGCGAAGAAAGACGGTTATTTAGCGACGATTTTGGGAGCGCACACTTCGCAGTCCCGAAGCGACGTAGTTCTGGTCTGTTCCCTGGGTTTTAATGGCAAGGAAATCGGTCCAGACTTGTGGTAGAATCACGTAGAAGCCTTGGCAGAGGGTTTTTGCCTTCATAAATGTATGGTACAGTTCTTCGCTGTCGCTCTTGCTTTTCTCAGCTTTTCCTTTCCTTTTTCAGTTCCAACTCCATTACGGGAAGGAACCCGGCTGCTTTAGAGATACGTAAACCATCAATGAAGTTCTTCGAATTCAAGTAGGGATCATGGTGTAGCTGACTGTGACTGCGGCAACTTCTTGAACTTTCGCTTTGTGGCCTTTAGCAATTGCATCTGCCAAATCTAATTCAGCAGCAGCACACAATTCAAGGGTTGTTACCAAGTTAATAAATGGTATAAAGGCAAGTCCTATCACCCAGACGCATTTTTTACCTGCCTTAATTATCTTATAGCTCTTCTTTTTTTTAAATTCCTCAAATTCAAATTTCTCTGGAAGGTGTCTCAACTCTTTTGCGTGGGCTTGGTCTTCTTGGTCTTCTCTTCTCTCCCTTTAAGTGGCACCAAAATTTATCAGTGCATTTTCAATGCCGTTGGACACAGCTCCTTGTAGCTAATGGTTTCTTCAAGGATGTCAGGAATCCGCCCACGAAATTCTTTGTACTTCAGGACTTCATAATACTCAAAATTACTCCCTGTTACATGCAAAGCAATTCGGTCGAAAGCGGCAGGATACTTTTTAAGTATATAACTTTTGAACAAGTGTTGTTCAAGTTTGCACTCTTCTTGTTTAAACTTACACGTTCCGGCCACATTTTGTCATCGCCCACTCACTCTTAGGAAATCTGTTGTGTCGACGAACATGATTATACGTCTCACCAACGCAATCAACTGCCAAACAAGATCACTAAAGATTTCAAAACAGGTACCATAAGCTCGTTTAGTCGGCGTGCTATTTTCGCTAAGATCAAAATTGTTTAAAAAATAGCAAACTTCGCCCGCTGGGATATTAACCTAGCGACTCGTGCCTAATGTTAGGCGAGAGAGAAATCTCAAATCAAACGTCTTCCTCCTTAATTATGTTTAAGTTATATAAAATGATTCTATTGATAATTGTGTGTAAAGGTCGAGTTTTCTTTAATTCATAAAATAGATCTTTTTTGAAATGAAGATCTGGATCAAATTTTTCCTTAGGAAAAGGCAAAACTCGTTATGAGAAAGTACACGGTTCGACTCACACGTGCCAAAAATTGCACGTCAGTATGAATTTCAGAGCTCATTCTTTTCTATTGAAATAATTAACGACTTGAAGATGTTATTTTTCCAATAAGGCAAACATATTGACAAGTTTTTACCCGGACACAGTTCAACTTAGTTAATCCTTTCAACCAAAAAGGGGCTCAAAGTTAATTTACTTGGAAAAAATGTAACTGAGTCAACGTTAGTAGAGTTGAATTCGTCTAGTCCTTGTAAAAGGACGAGGCCAGTGTTGCCTTTTATTTCGCATTTCGGAATACTAATTCTACTGCTAACAAACGTGTCAGGCAAAGTGGTAACCAAATTCTCTCAACTATTCACAAGAAAATGTTTGTCAGTTTAAAGGGAGAATTGCGAATCAAATCATGAAAGTTTAAGGGATACATAACACTAACGTTCTGTCTCAAACACAACCTTAGGTATGCACCTTTTAACCCAATTATTAAGTTATAATTAATTTATTTGAGCCCTTTTAATAACAGATCTTTTTCCTCTTTGGTTGACCCACTGACGCTCGTTGGCAAGGTCTCTATTGCTCGATTCTAAGCCTGAATTCCCCCGGGGTAAAGAAAATTCTGACGCATTCTGTGGAACATCTGTGCAGTCTTTATTAAAACTTAATCAATTACAAACCTTTGCATAATCACTCACTTTTGATTACAGTTGACACCTCATGATAATGTGTGTCCTGAACTTGTTTGATTATAAGATTAAAATAATAACGCTCCTACAAAAAGTTATGAATCATGATTTCATATAATTCTAAACCTGTCAGTTTTAAAAAACATAGCAGAAATAAAACTTCAATCGCGGAGTTCTATCATGAGTTGAATTCTTCTAGCAGATTGTTACAACTCCGTAGAACTCCTCTTCCAGTCACTAATGGGGACTTTTACGAAACGACAGCAGCGAGAACGAGAACAAGGAGAAACAAAACTTGTAACGAGCAGAACAACTCCTCTGCACATGCGTTCTAAAACTTTGTAGATTTCCTCCCCGTTCTAAGAAACGATGTGAAACTACACAATTTTTTTAAAGTTATTTGCAGTCTGAGCCGCAAAGCCAAATCAACACGTTTCCAGCCCGAACTTAACACTTCATTCACATGTCATCCACGAGGAGGTCTAACGCCGGTAGAGACGGTTAACACATCGATGTACTGGCAAAATGCTGAAGATAGACATCTGTTTTTAATCAACTCTTTCATAGGCCTCGCTGCCGTGATACCTCAACTCCTCCACAATTCCTTACAGGACTGTGCATTAATAAGCTCCCTACTGATTTATTTCCATGAAAAGTAATGACTGAGATATTTAATTCAAAGCTCTGCATTCTGGCTCTACTAAGTCTCTACGTCAGTTAGAGCTCTTTTTAATGGGTGGTCAGACGAAACCCAAAAGAAAAGTACTAATAACGAGATCCTTCGGAAGGCACTCTAACACTACCAAATACCTCATCGGATCGGGTGAAAGTCTTGCTCACACTATATGAACAATCAACAAAGGTAACAAAATCAAATCGTAGACGAAGCAATTCCGATAACTTCGTAGTCATTGCCACCCCAAATGCCGGAATGAATCACGTTAAAACTTGGTTTTGCTGCTGCATTTAACTACGCTTACTCTAATATATATGTAAAAAAGACAAAAATCATACTGTTTCCATTAAGATGTTCCTAAGAGTCACACTCGATCTTGTTCTTTCCACTTTTCACTTGCTCTCATCTGGGGCTGTGATGGCCAACAGAAGCTTGCTCGCTAGCTTTCGAATTGAACATTTTTCTTGAATGGTTTTCTTCTGCTTTTCCAGCCACCTGTCGATGTAGTTCTGGTCTGTTCCCTCGGTTGGAATGGCTAGAAAATCAGTTCTGACCTCTGGTATAACCGCGTAGAAGCCTTGGCAAAGGGACTTCATATCGCTTGCTTGTGCCTTCATAACTTTGTAGTACAGTTTCTTGCCGTCGCTCTTGCTTTTCTCAGCTTTTCCTTCAAACTTTTTTAACTCCTGTTCCATGACGGAGAAGAAACCAGCTGCTTTGGAGATACCACTTATAAAGCCCTTCAAGGCAGGGATGAGGGTGTCGCTGACTGTGATTGCGGCAGCTTCTTGAACTTTTGCCTCGCAGCCTTTAGCAACTGCACTAGCCACATCTGATTCAGCAGCAGAAAACAACACAGGGCTCGCGATAACGTTTACAAACGGTACAAAGGCAAGTCCAACCGCCCAGGAGCGTTTTGTACATGCTTTCTCTTCTAGCTCTTTCTTCTTCCTTTCAAATTCCTCTTGAAGGTGTTTCAATTCTTTTACAATTACGCGAGCCTGGTCTTCTCTCTCTTTAAGTGGTACCAAGATGTCTTCGTGCATCTTCAGTAGCGCTTGGCACATCTCCCTGTAGCCAATGGTCTCTTCGAGGATGTCAGACAGCATCTCACGCCATTCTTCGTACTCCAGGGCTTCATAGTACTCAAAGTACTCGCTGATGGATGAGACCAGTTTGGTCGAAAGCGGCAGGACACCTTTAAGGTACACCATTGCGTCGTTTCTGGTTTTGTTTCGGAGTTCCCTAAACTTTCTAGCGCCTTCGGAATCGCTGCCAACAGCCTGATCTGAGTAAAGGGATCTCATGCAAAGAGAAAAAATTCGCATGTCGACTGGCATGCTCTGTAATTGTTCTCGAAGGTCTTTAACGGAGTTCTCTGCTTGCTTTTCGGTGTCACTCATCGTTCTGCTAAAAAGAAGCAATGGATAATCAAAAGGTTTTCTTCTTTATTAGCCCATGGATTGTTCCTATCATCGCTGTGTTTGTTCATTTTAACAAAAGATCAATTGCTTTAAACAATCATGGAATAAAGCTGTAAAAATGATGGAAAAAGGGGCAGTATGTCTCTAGGCCGCGGTTTTCGTCACAGGGGATTGAGATTAGTTGTTCCATAACAGATGACACGAAAGCTGCTGTTTTGTTCATCAGTTATTGATGCATATGGCATTATTTTAAGATGGCTAAGGAAACATAGGAAAGATTGCAAAAAAACTTACTTTCATGATAAGGATCAAACAAGAGGAGTTGTTGGAGTTTGCATGTATTGGTTTCAGATGTCTGCTACACTTATGTAATCGTCATGTGCCTAGCCTCCTATAAGCTCAAGTTAAAAGGGATCTGGAAAACGCATCCTTTTTTCTTCGCTAAATTTCATTCCCAGCTGCATAACATAATATCCTTCAAGCAACTATCAAAATATAAAGACTCTCTTCCCTCCCTTACAGAGATCAGTTCAACAAAGGAAAAGTGACCATTAGTTCCTCAAAATATTTTAGTTTTGATCACAGGTTTTCTCAGCACGAAAAGGTAAGATACCCCGAGGAAAATCTCATCCGGGCAGGTTAATTACTTGACAAACGATTCAGTTAGTAGTGCTATTAAAGTTAACCTTCGTTTTGCCAAGATTTTTTAAAAAAATCTCGAGTTTGATCACAGCTTTTCTTTCCCGATGCGTTTTATGGAATTGTTTATCGAAATTCTGCTGTAGGCACGCCAATAAAATAAAAGAAGCAATCGGCCCTTCACAAATCATAGACTTCCAACCGACTTGAATTTAAGAAAAAAGACAGCATGTTACCTTTAACTATGGTAGTGGGTCTGTAGGATTCGTTTTCTCGGCACGTTTTTTCAAAAGTTGCTTTATGTTTCTAATCTTGGAGTTCTTTGATTTGGAGACTAACTTAACGCTTCAGCTTTAATCATTGGTAGAAGAAAAGACTGAGCAAGGAACAAGTAAGTAAGGTCTTACTCAACTGTAATTAGTCCTCATAATCGTGGTTCAAACCCTCTTGCATTGCTTCCAATTGCAAAAACTACTTATAAGAACTTTACACGAGTAGGAATCCACAGATTTTCGGCTAACGCGTGTAACGGAACGACGTTCGATTCCAGGTTTACGTAAAATATGCTAACAGGTCTATCTATATTCACTAAAACTGATGCCACCTACAATCCCGCATGAATGAATCAGGATGACTGGTTTCGTTTTCTAGAATAAACCAAGCTCACTTGTGACGGAAACAGAAGCCAAAGTGCAAATAGAAAATGCCACAAAAATAACGAGGAAGAATATCATAAGGTTGGACCAATTTCGTAAAACCGTTCGAAAGAATTTTCAAATCATTCTTTCCTTTGGTTTTTTTTATGATTTTTTATGAAAATTAATAGGAATTCTATCGTGCCGATGCCTCCCGTGGTTAAGTTGAAGGCAAATCCTACTATAAAAGTGACAAGAAACAAACCTGAGACAATCCACTCGTAAATGAAATTACTTTTCAGAGGCGAGGGGAAATTTCAGTTCATAGCATTGAGCTGAACTGCTTCGCATATACTCTTTCATCACATAACTTTTGAGCGCCTCACTTGATGTCTAATTTTGGTGTCGATGCTCGCCAGTGATGGCCGCGGCGCATTTTCTTACGAAGGTTGTTTCATTTATCTTTCCGACTCATTTATTTCATCCAGCAAGTTCAATTCCTTGAAAACGGATGCAATTAATGGCCTTTACGAGCATTTGCGAGCATGCGAGCAGTGTGTTTATTTTTGCGAGCACGAGCATTTGTCAAATTTTTCTTGCGAGCAGCGAGCTCTTTAGAAAATACAGATGACGAGCAGCGAGCACTTTGAGTACTTCGTAAATTTGCCGTTAGCCGGAATCTGTCTTTTATTGATACGATACCTTGTTTTGCGCCAAGAAATAGCGAATAATCTGGCTGACACCTCCAAAACAGAATAACAGTTGCAAAGCCAGCATCTTCCAGCCAATTGTGCCCTGCTTGATGCCAAATTACGTCACGTAGCTTCACGTGAGTCAGCAGGGTGGACGCTCAAGAACTTCAAGGACTCTCAAGGAGATCTACTAGATCCAAAGCCCAAGATCTAAAGTTTTCCATCTCTTTCTCACCCGCGCTAAAGTGGAAGGTATGTTTTTTTTGGTCACATAGTTCTCATGAAATGTAAATAACATGATATTCGGGTTGTTTACCATTTACAAAAAAATTCCGGAAATTTCAGTTTGGAATTTTTGTTCGGTAAACACGGTACGGGTCGTTTACCATTTGCCTACAATTTCCGGATTGTTGTTCCGCGCAGGAGAACTGATCGGCTAAGATTTGATATTTCTGATAGCCCAGTTAATACGTCAGCTGCGTATAAAATGAAAGAAAACATGTTGCAGAAAATTTAGAATTATTTTCGTGAGAGAATAAAATATAGCGTAAAACTTGACAGCCATTCGATTTTGGACACAAATTAGAGATTTTGACTGCCGGTCAAGGTTTTCAAAACACTAAACGGCCGTCAGTTCTATATTCTCAATAAATTTCAAAAAATCGAAAAAATCAAGCCATGTGGTAATTTAGATTAGAGAATATAGGACTGCCGGCCATTTAGTGTTTTGAAAACCTTGACCGGCAGTCGAGCTGAAAAAAGTTCTAAGTGTCACAAAACATGGTTTCGTCTTCTGAGCCAAGCGTAAACCAAACACTAGACTTGAGATCTATGAAGCATTTTAAGATCGCTTGACTTTTCTAAATCGACATATGATAGTTTATATTAGCTGGAATTTTTCGATTTTGTGAAATTTACTGAGAATGGCCGAATTTATACTAGAGACGAGTTATCCGTCAGAGACGAATCAGACGGATAACTCGTCTAAATATAAATTCGGGACTAAGACGAATTATGGAGCAAAATTCGTCTCAGGCTGATCCGTCTGTCAGCACGTCTTCAAGACGTGTTAACAGACGGATAGCTCGTCTTAGACGGATCATCCGTCTCTAAATTTTTATCTAGACGGAAAACGAAGACGGTTTTTGACGAAGTTTCCATATGAGAGAGACTGGTTTCTATAGTTTTGCAAGGTTTCTTAGGATGCCTATTTCAAGATGGCGTCCGGTAAAGTAATCGTGCCCTCGAAAGCAATCACTCCGACCAGTTTTGAAGGCCGTCCTCCCACCATTTCTTGTTTCTTTCTCATCTCTACTTCTTGTCTTCCTATCTTGAGCAAGATTAGCGAGAGAAAAGTGTAACATGAAGTTCATTAAGCTATTTTCCGGCTCAAACATGCGCTTGACAGAGGATATTCTTCTCTGACATACCGCCATATCCAATGCTGTTCTTCTCGATTTCATCAACAAGGCTACGAGAGCCGCCATATTTAAGCTCTCGCCAGGCTTCCACTCGGCTCAACACCGAGACACCCGTCGTGAAACTCGCGAACGATTTATATCTAGACAGATTATTCGTCAAAATTCGTCTTCGGATTTATACTTGGACGGATTATCCGTATGACGGATGATCTGTCTAGACAGATGATCCGTCTCTAGTATAAATCGGGCCATTATAGGACTGCCGGCCATTTAGTGTTTTCAACAGCTTGACCATGCGCCGGCCATATAGCCACAGCGTAAAAAAATGACTACAAAGTATTTCAGGTTTCTTTGAAAAAAAAAGCATCATAACAATATAATCTACCCTCAAACAGGACTCGATAACATTTCCCCCACCCCTCCCTCATTGAACGTCAATTAACCTTACTAAAAAAACGTCATCCCTTTTTTTCCGCACAGAGTAAGCTTATCTACATCATCTTGAACTTGTCTTCGCAAAGCAAAGGAAAACCAACGAAAAAAAAAGCACTGGTTCACAGACTAGAGACAGCAGAAGTTCTCGAAAACATATAAAACAGCCATACTATTTTTTTTTCCTCTCTAATACTCGGTATGAGATAGTTAGAAAACACATCAACTTCCTACAAAAAGTAATGTTGCATGCATGTTCGACAAAACAATAGCTTATTGAATGAATGTAACTGAGGTTGTCCTCATTTATCCATATTTCCACTTTTCATTTCAAAGTACAGGTTTTAGTGCAGCCCTAAAGACTGAAGTTTATTATCACGTAAAGATTAACCTCCAATCTCTCGTAAATCAAGTAGGTTTTGTAGAAAAGGCCTCTGTTCAGAATGTCGACGGCTTTTATTTGATTGCGTGCAAGCGCCTCTAGGATTAGTTATTGCGGAATCTTAAGAGAGGGTGTAATATCATCTCCTTTGACCCATCCTTTATAGTGGACTTCTATGATTGGCTAAAGAAATGGAAATGTGAAACTGGCCTAACCTGACCGAACGCCCTTCATCGATTTCAGATTTCGGCGAAGTGTGGAGCGAGAATTCTTCAAACTCGCCAAGTGATGTAAATCGAGCTTTTCGCTTAAAATTCAGGTGTCGGTAACCACTGGAAAAATCTCTATCCAATGGGCAGCCCACTAAGTTTCATTGATCCTTGTCCGCTAAATGAGGATTTATCCTTTGACGAGTATCTGTTATATAATTAGCTCCTGACGCAATAAAAGAAAAATCAATCAAATCAGACCAGAAGGGATCATGGAAGGTTTTAGCATGGTCAGTTCATGAATAGAGATTGTAGTGTAATGTAGTGGTGAGATACATTTTGAGCAGCTTTCAACAACGAATGAAAATTCTTTGATACAGATTATAGGGTTCAACTGACGTGTAATATGCATTTGCTTCTCAAAGCTTGGACATTCCGTTAGAAAAAGAAATGTCTTCTGACCCTGAATAACCAAAGAAATACTTAGAATAAGCGAAACAATGTCAGCTTTCGCTTTCCTGCTTCGATTTCAGGTTTCTTTTAAAAAAAAGACAAGAAAGATAACAATAATATAGGCCCATCTACCCTTAAAGGGGACTCGATAACATTCCTCCCACCCCTCTCTTCATGGAACGTCAACTAACCATACTAGAAGACTTCATCCCTTAGTTTCCCAAGCAGAGTAAGCTTATCTAACTCATCTTAAGACGTAAGTATAGACCTCTTTATTGCACCGCTCGGCGAAGTATTTGAGCCATTAGAGGCTAAAAAAAGGTTTTGTCGATTCAAATAACAAGCGGTAGTTGTGAGCTGCCTTTCGTGCTTCCAGTATTCCTTGTGTGTGAGGCCAGCTCACTAAATAATTTTGAAATGCTTAATGGCGATAGGAACACTCGGGAGGGAGAGACCAAGCAACAGCAGTTTACCACGTGGAACGGGTTGGATGCTCGACAATAAAAGTGACAAA